TAGACTTTCATCTGTCGTTGACAAGAGGACCCCCGGCTCAGCGAGGACACTGTCCCCCATCCTGCCAATCTTGACCAGTGTTCCCATTGCTTTTCCTGCCCTGAATCCCTCCCTCCTCCATAATCTTCCTTTTTTTTAGATTGAGATATAATTCACATAACATGTATTTCACATAATATAAAATTCACCAGTTTGAATTGTACAATCCAGTGGTTTTTAGTATAGTCACAAGGTTGTGCAACTATCAATACTATCCTCCTATTCCAGAATATTCCCATTATCCCCAAACGAAATCCTATACCCATTAGCAGTCACTCTCCATTTTCCCTGCCCCTGGCAATCAGTAATCTATTTTCTGTTTCTGTGGATTTGCCTATCCTGGACATTTCATATAAACTGGATCATACAATATGTGGCCTTTTGTGTCTGGCTTCTTTCACTTAATATAATGTTCTCAAGGTTCATTTATGTGGTAGCATGAATCAGTGCTTCATTCCTTTTTATTCCAAATAATATTCCATTGTGTGATGGATCCTGTTTTGTGTATCCATTCATCATCTGATGGACATTTGGCTTGTTTGCACTCTGGCTCTTGTGAATAATGCAGCCACGAACGTCCGTGTATGAGTTTTTGTGTGGATGTATGCTTTTTTTTTTTTTTTTTTAGATTTTATTTATTTATTTGACAGAGAGAGAGAGAGTGAGAGAGGGAACACAAGCAGGGGGAGTGGGAGAGGGAGAAGCAGGCTTTCCGCCGAGCAGGGAGCCCGATGCGGGGCTCGATCCCAGGACCCTGGGATCATGACCTGAGCCGAAGGCAGACACTTAACACTGAGCCACCCAGGCGCCCCTGGATGTATGTTTTTAATTCTCTTGAGTAAATATCCAGGAGTGGGACTGCTGGGTACCTCTGTGTATAAGCTTTTAAGGAACTGCCAGACGTTCCCAGACTCTTCATGGGCAGCTCTGCCTTAACAGAATTTCAGCATCACTGAGAAGCACCTCTTACCCAAAATATTCTCCTGGCTTCTGCCATGGAAGAAATTACTTTAATGGAGCTTAGAATTATTCCCTTTATAATAAGCGTTAAGGTTCAAAATGCAATACTGTTGAGCAAGGGAACAGAGTGACTCAAATTCACACCAAGAGGTAAGTCAGATCTTTTCTCAGAGCAGTTTTGATGAAAGGAAAAAAGAAAACGTGTCAGAATGCTGGGGATCTGCAAGGGGGAAGGAGGCCACAGAGCCTGAATCTGGGGTGGGCTGTGTACTTTTATAGGGACAGGCCAGCTTTTCCTCTCAAGTACCATAGTGAATACCAGGCTCCTATTTTGCGAATTCATTTATTTCAAATAGCACCTACTGAGCACTGACTTCATGAGAGAATATTCACCTGGACATTTTAGGAGGAATAAGACACATTCCCTGAGGAGTTAAAGATTACGTGGGTTGGACAAGTCTCAGGGCTTTCCTCTGAGATCACGTCACTTCATTGGTTGGATGCCGACATGTCCTTTCTTTTCTTGGAGGGATGCTGATGACTGGTGGAGGCAGCTTCTATTTCTTTAACATCTAATTTGGCAACACAAAATTTGGTAGCCCTATGTTGGTCTAACAAATTACTGCAATATTCCTTGTTTTTTAAAATCCCTCATCCCCACCTCAAAATCTGAGTTTAGAGGAAAAACAACAGGTATTAAGAGACAAAGGCTATTGATCCAACTCGATTCCCACATGTATTAAAATGGATAAAGAAAGCAATGTTGTAGCAGTTAGGATTAACTTAGATAGTGAGGTCTAGGCAGGGAATTGCTTTCTGAGATTCTGCCAGACCCAGAGTTAAGAAAGCCACAGCTGAAGCTTCGGTGCCTCGTTCCTGACAAGTTGGGGAGGGAGTCTTGACCTCACGAGCGAGGCAGCGTGTGCCCATGGCTCTCACTAATCTAAAAGGATGGGACCGAAGGAATGTCAGACCTTGGCTCTGTGACACCTATTTCTGAGAAACTCTGGTCTTACGTGCCTTAGTTTACCTCTCTGGACCTCAGCTTCCACACTGGTGATGTAACAGCAAGAGCTGACGGGCTCACGGGCACTATTTTGAGGACTTTGGAGATATACATGTTTAATTCTATGAGAGCCGTATGAGAATGGGACCCATAATTGTCCCCATGAGTTTGCCCAGACTCTCACATGACTGTCAGTGGCAGAGCTGAGATCTGAATCCTAACTGCCTATTGTCAAGGCTTATACCACTTCTTCCTTTTAAAAAATTTATATCTGCATATTCTACGTTAAATTAAGTCATTCATTCTATTACTGGAGTGGTGTGAGAATAATTTGATACTGAGTAGCACTGTGGCGCTCCCTCACGACGTCTCTGCTCAAGAAATACTGGAAAAGGATGAGAAAGCACATATTCCCATCAACTTGAAATGCCAGTGTAAGTGAATTTAATATTATTATGAGCTGTGCTTGAAACTTCCATCGCTAGCATTAACTTAGGATATTCTTTCCATCTCTACAACACCACTGTGGCTTTAATTTTTTAAATGATTTTATTTATTTATTTGATAGAGAGAGACACAGTGAGAGAGGGAACACAAGCAAAGCAGGGTGAGTGGGAGAGGGAGAAGCAGGGAGCCTGATGCAGGGCTCGATCCCAAGACCCTGGGATCATGACCTGAGCCAAACGCAGATGCTTAACGACTGAGACACTTAGGCGCCCCCCCCCCCCGCCCCCGCTGTGGCTTTTAAACAACCTAGATGACATGTTCGAGAAAGAGCTAGTGAGAGCCCGAGGAAAGATAAGGGCCCTTCGGGGAGTGGTGTGCCTCCTGAGACCCTCCCAGGGTGCATCTGAGCTCCACTGGGAACCTTGCCCCACTCCACCTCCAAACCTAACCGAGTCTGGCTCTTGTGGAAGCAAATGTACATACCAAATGACAGGAGAGTAACCACAGCAGTGCATCCACAAATGTCAACTAAAGGGCACGCTGATTTAAAAAGGGAATATTGATTTAAGGTAAGTCTTGAAGGACTGGTGAAGCATGGCAGGAGACGAGAAATTTTAAATACTTTTCTAATTCACAGAAATTTTTAATTAATAAATAGTTTCTTCAGCATATACAGTGGAGGGCCATTAATGCTTTTGGTGCTCATTTCAGCATGTATGCAGCAGGTGGGGGCTGCATCGCCATTTCACTACCCCTGCCGCACCCAGAGCGCTTCCTAGACACATGTGCCGCCCACCAAATGCACATGGACTGGGGGGAGGATGAGCCAGCTCTTGGTCACCATAAGAAGGAGGTTAAGCGAATCTTAACATCATCACTCCTCCCCCATCTCAACCCCGAGATCCTCCCCTCTCCTCTGAAGGACTCCCTCTCTGCCTACTTCTTGGATATGGTTTTAGGCTCCTCCTCCTGAAACCAGCCTCTGGGGATTGAATTTCCTTGTCCAGGACCCTGTCCTCTATATATTCTGCCGGTCTCGATTCTGAGCTCCAGGCTCTACAACCAGCTGTCTGCTTCATCTCTCCCCTTGGGAGTCCCCTCAGGTATCTCCAACCTAACTTCTCCAAACCGGGGCTTGATATTGTCCCCCGTCCTCCCATACACAACATCTTCCAGGTTCCTCCCTCTCAATAAATGGCACCGTGACCTTCCCTGTTGTCCTCCTTGATCCCCACTTTCTTCTGCCCCCGGCATTCTGATTCACCACCTCGTTCTGCCCCTTTGGGTCCCAGGGCTCACCTCCATGGCTGCACCTGACCCGAGCCATCCTGCTCGGGTCCTTGTTCCCTTCTTCTAATACTCCACAAAGCAGCCACAGTGACCCCAACAATCTCACTCATGGAACCGATGGTCACTCACTGCATTTGGAAGAAACCCAAGGTCCTTGGCAGGACCTTTGGCAATTGGGAGGGTCTGGCCTCACTGACCTCTCTCATGTGTTTGAGAGTTGGCCACTCTTCCCTTACCCATCTGTCCCCAGGCTGGCTTCCTGTCACTGCCTGGGACACGCACAGGACCCTGTCCTCGGGCCCTTGTCATTGGCTTCTCTCGGTGCCTGTCACGAGGGGATGGTGCCTGAACTCTGGGTAAGGAGGGGCTGGGGAGGACGCACAGCTACCCTGTCCTTGAAATCAGTATTCACAGTGTAGCTCCAGCAGGGGGTTCCAACTACTGTGAATTCCCAGATTGTATGCTTATGGAATCTCTTCCACAGGTATGAATTTTTAGAGTTTACAGACCTAAAATGTAAAAGCGCTCATTTCTTGCTGTCCCAAGTGTTATATAAAACAACTTTAAATACAGTTTTTGTTATCAAAATAGCAAACATATCTAGAAGTTCTTGATTAACATTCTTCTTGGGCCCACTATTGTCTAATGGTTATAGAATGAATCTAAAATAGCAAAAGAAAATAGGAAAATGAGCATTTCAGGGAAAAACAATGAGCCAGCCTAGGCACCAGAGTCCTTTCCTTATTTCATATTTCTCATTGCATTTTTTCATCAAGGCTTTACTTATTCTATTAATTACCATCCACTTTCAAGGTTCTAGTCTACTTCTAACATGTATAGGATGATCGCTTATTTAAGTAAGAGCTTGGGTTCAATTGCAGATGTGGATATTATTTTAAAATTTAATTTGGGGGCCCTGTTCCAAAGTGAAAATATAATAACGAATATCTAAGTACATTCTAATTTACAGATATGCCTGTAATTTTATAGAAAGCAAAAAGACGAACAGAACTGAAATCAAGGGTCTGGGTAAAATGAATACACCTGCTTCTGGTTCTTCCTTGAAACACTGATTCCCATTGGAGTTTCAGTTTTCCATCTGCCAAACCCGTGCCCTTTTAAAAGTTGATTTCTGTAGTAAGATGTTAATGCTTTGTTCCTTGCACTCAAGAGACTTCAGTGACCTTGGGAGGGCAGCATAACCGAGGGCGAAAGGGTAGCTTCAGAGAGGCCTGGCCATGCTCAGAAGCTGACTTACTATTGTGCGCAGTCAATCAGCTGGTACTCGTTGGACCTCTCAAAGCACGCCTTCACGCCTTCATCATCCCAGAGCTTCTTCACATGATCGAAGAATTCCTAGCATTTGAAAAAGTTCGAAATAAGGAAGCACAAGTGTTACAATCTCTTGAAAAGTTAAAAGTAAAAAGAAACTGCCAAAAAATTTTTTGCAGGTAGCGCATGAATTATTCTCCTTGTAGGAATCGACTTCACACACAGGAAAACTCATAGGACTCGAGAGCGGCCTGATCAGAAATGGATGCATCTGTGTTATCGTTGCTCGATTCAACCTGTCAAACATTCTTGTCCTTCCAGAAAGTTCCCCCAAATTAAAATTATGAGTCAAAATAATTTTGTGGCATTCATCAGCTATATATACAACAGCTATTTTAACAAAAATTTTAAAGTTCTTCGTACTCAGTCACCTGCCTAGTGGTACTTGTCACTTCATCAGCGAAAAGTGTGCCTATTCCAATGGTAAGTTCTGTTTTAGCTGTTGTCTTTTAAAGTTTCCGTGAGCCATGATTATGAATAGCCATGATTGAGCAGATGGGTTAAATTCGGCCCAGAAGCATTAGGTACATCAGAAGTAAACCTTGAAAATTTCACCCTTTGGGGATACTAAGTCGCTGTTTTCTGGCATTTTCTAACACTATGAGTTACATGTGAACTGTGATTTTTGGTTCCCTCAAGCCCATGTGGGCGCAGAGCTTAATTTCATCCATTATGGCAAGCAGCACCCTCCGAACCAAGAACTCTCCTTCTCTCAAAGTAAGAGGTGGCTTTATGAATTCATATTTCCAAAATTACCCAAATTAAATTAACAGTGGTATGGAAGCAAATGACAACACATCAGCTGCTAAATATAAAAGAAGTTACGTAAATTTTCACAAACCCGTTCATTAGAATATTTATATCCCTTCCCACATTAGTCATCTGCCCTCGCAGCAGCCCCAGGAAGCACCCAGTCCCATCTCTGATCTGCACCAAAGGGTCTGGGGCTTCTGACACCTCATGTCCATAGATTTTTTGGAGAAAAAAAAATAAAGGGCTGATTCTTTTCTTGAAGATTCACAAGTCCATACAAGGGTGGACCTGAGTACTGAGGGGGCCCTCTTTGAAAAAAGAAACATAAAATCACAAGTACACAATTAGGTACAAAACCTTAGAAGGGGCAGGAGGGGTGAGGGGCCATGAGGCTCTGACATCCTAGGATCAGGGATAATCTTTATTTTATTTATTTATTTTTTTAAAGATTTTATTTATTTATTTGAGACAGAGAGAATGAGAGACAGAGAGCATGAGAGGGAGGAGGGTCAGAGGGAGAAGCAGACTCTGCCGAGCAGGGAGCCCGATGCGGGACTCGATCCCGGGACTCCAGGATCATGACCTGAGCCGAAGGCAGTCGCTTAACCAACTGAGCCACCCAGGCGCCCAGGGATAATCTTTAAAGGTCTGCCACGTCTCTATACCTATCGTGTGTCTGGCTGCTCATTGTCATCAACAAATCCAAACTACCCACAGGTGACAACGAAGGGGAAATCTCCATATGAAGGAGAGGAGCTGAACCTCTCAGTTTTTGTCTCCCTAGATTTATGGCTCCTTCTGGAATCTCCCACTACTGCTCTTGACACTCCAGTGAGGGAGTTTTTATAGGCTTCCTCAAAAATTTTTTTCTTCTAAGAGCCATATGAAGACAGACAGACAGACAGACAGACACACACACACACACACACACACACACACACCCCCAAACGAAAAATACTCTACTTTCTATTGTCGAGATGGTCTTGAAAGACAATGTTAACCTCTGTGTCATGGTGATATTTGGAATCGAGCCCCATATCTCTCCTCTCCTGCAAACCCCCAGTGTAGTAGTTTCTTGAATAAAGTTCCTTACTGTCTTTATCAGGTGTCTGAATCATTTTTTTCTTCAGCAGGCTGAGCTGAAGCCTCTGAGACAGAATTATAGAGGAGTGCTTGAATCAAGAACCAAGATGCATGATTTCTGGGGTCCGTGTTGAAAGCAGTAGTAAAACAGGAATTGTGGGCACTGTGTTTTTAAAGCAGATGCTTTGGACGACACCAAAGGAACATAAAAGCAGCAACAATCTCTGCTTCGGCTTTGTGGTTGGTGAACAAAGACATTGGACTAGAATATAGCTAGGTCTCCAGGATTCTCCATGTTTACTTTTTAAGGGGTTCTAACAACCTCATGGAAAATTTCAGAGCTGCTACTGCCGTTGCTTCTGCCTTTTATTAGAGAAAAATGCAAACTTACAAAAGCAGAGAGAATTCCCCAGGCCACTCATTACTCAGCCTCTGTGTTTACCAACACATGGCCAATTCTCTCTCTCTCTTTTTTAATAACTCATGCCTTTCCCCACATTTGTTATTTTGCAGCTAATCTCTTATGCCATGTAATTTTATTTCAACATTACTTCTGAAAGATAAAGGCTCTTAAAAGTCATAGCCAAAACACCACTATCTCAACTAAAAATATAACAACAAATAAGTCAGCCAATGCAGCCTCTCTAGCTGTACTTAACCGGTTGTCCAGAGCCAGGCTAGAATTCTCATGCATTCGTGAAACCAGCTGGGAAATAAACCTGAGGAGTAATTTTGGTATGCCTCTATTAGCAGCTAAGATGAATAATATCAAATAAAACTAATTTCAGTGTTGTGTGTGTGTGTGTGTGTGACTGAAAATAAAAAAAAGATGATTCACAGAGAAATGTAACCTGCTTTTGACAACTGAGAATATGTAGAAATTGAGAGTATAAAAAGAAAATCACTGATATTTAACTTTTTTGGTATTACTGAATGAGAATCGCCTTGTGATCTTCATGTATTTAGCAACTGAAATATGCAAACATTTGTTACTCTTATTTAAAGGGCCTTGACACGCTATGAATTGTGTAAGAGTGATCAATCACAGACCTGTACCCCTGAAACAAATGATACGTTATATATATATATATATAACATATAAAAAAACCCCAGATATACTATATATACCTTTATTAAAAAAATAAAGGGCTTTGACATAGCACAACCTACAAGCTTACCGAGTCACTGAGTTGTATAGCTGAAACTAATGTCATATTGTGTTCAGCTCTCTCAAATTAAAAAAAAAAAACCAAAAAAACCAAGGGAGTTTGAGTTGTGTTATAGAAAGTAAAAATGATAATGATACCAAATTTAAACTTACTTTTAAAAAAGGCGAGGCTTTAACATTTTCACAGCATCATTCTGATTTTTCAAATCAAAATTTAAATTAAAATAAAAAAATGCAAATATCTAACTCCTCCATTTCATGTTACAGCATTTTCCTTCTGGTACTGCAGTCTACCTTTCCCTTTCCACACGAAGTACAAAGCTAACCTGGGATTCTCAGGTGAGTAACAAGTTTTTTCTTTTTCTTTTAAATTCCTCATAACTGCTCTGAAATGGAAATCATATGACAATAGGAAATGTTAAGAATGCAAATTCTTGCATGAGATCCCTGCTGATGGAACTTTTTGGTTACACTAACAGCCGGGATCTATTTTTCATTTTTGAAATAAGAACCCAAAGGGTATTTCTTGTCTCTGGAAGGGAATGCTGTGAGGTGGTTTGGAGTCAACGCTCTGGCTACGCACGCAGGTCTTGGGAAGAACTGCTTTCACACGCAGTGCGGGTGGAAACTGTCACTAGGTTGAGTGTAAAAACATTCTTCCTCATGCTCATTGCCCGATATTTCTTCTAAGGTGACTTATGGAAAATATCTCGAATTTTAGTATCAGGAGTACTTTTTTTTTGCATTTCTGAAGCAAACGCTTTTATATTTTACTGTTAATGTTTAATCTTCAGAGCCCTGTGGCTCTTCTACGTTTTCATTTACATCACTGAGTTGACTGCAGGAAAGCTTGGAAGTCCCGTTTTGGGGTCAGTCCTCATGTGTGTGTAGGGCTTGGCCTTACACTCTGGATGCTAACTTCACTTCTGGCCTCACATAACTTATCTCCTGTTCCTAATTCTGTTCTCCTGCATTTTCAGTTATTTTATTACCTTGTATTTTATAACTTTGTGAGCAGCACTAAATCCTTCCTGGAACAAGCCGAAGTATAAATAAATGTTTGATGGAACTTTTTATGAGAACATAGTGGATAACGTCCACCACCACAATCAAATAGACCTTAGAAACAGGCAGCTTCAGGTCAGAAGTCATTTATTTACATGGAATTTTCTAAAGCTCAAGTTTAGGTCTGATTCATTTAAAATACACACACTCAATTTTATCCCTCGGATAACAGAATGATCGAACAGGATTTGTCATTTGTTTTTTCAAATATCTGGTGGATATCAAGTCTGTGTGGGATCTATCATGCCTGCTGACACTGTGATTTTGTTATTCATAATCTCTGTCCATCCTCAAATCTAATTTAATACAGTATGTCTAAAATTCTATTTAGAAACAACTTTCAGAAACTGTTTAAAAAAAGAAACCCAAACATTAAAGTCATTAGCAGTCCCCTCGCCCATGTCTTTCCTCTGACCACCCTGGGCAACCCTCTTAGCAAGTAACTCATATAAAAAGAGGTCACGCCTACCATTTACTGAGCACCTCGTATGTTCCAGGCAATGTTCTAAGGGCCTTATGTACAAGGTCCCATCTGAGACAACCCTGCCTTGTAGGCGATTCAACTCCCATTTGACAGATGGCAGAACAAGTATGATTAAGGATACTTTATCCTTGCTCAAGCTCTCCTGGAAGGAAGTGGTCAAACTCTGAGGCCAGCTACCTTCCTCTTCCTTTCTCTTCCTGCTCCCTGCGCCCGGGAGACCAGGGAGGACAAAGGCAAATTTATAATATACCCCACACTTGCCTACTTTTTTCCCTTTAGGACAGCCTACTTTAACTATTCTTAGAATCATTTTTAACAGCTTTTGAGGTATACTATATATACCATAAAATTCACCCGTTTCTTCATTCAATCAGGCCACCACTGACACAAGCAAGTTTTAGAACACTTCATCATCTCCTTACCCAATTCTTTGGAGCTAAGCCCGGCCCCCAGCCCTGGTCTCAGACACAG